CCGTTAATGTGGTTGCTTCGCTGTTCTACATGATCTTCGCAGGAGGTAAATTTCACTTCCAAAATTAATTCGCCGCTAGTAACCCTGGAAGGGAGTAATTTAAGGACTCCTTATGCAAGTTATGTCACCCAAGTAGATTTGCAGCCTTTTAAATTGGTACAGTCAAAAGTTCCTCAGCCCCTCCAGGCTCAGGGAAAATCCTCATCCCCGATGCGCGAGTCCCAATTTGCACAAGAAGTCCTTAAAAGGCCCCTTAACGTTATTAGAGCTTTGCTCTCCCTTGTTTCATGGAGTGTTGGTATCCCAATTTATTATCGCTTGAGTATTATTTCCTGTGCATGAGATATGGAACTTTCAGGTCCGGTCGGCCAGTTACTGCTTGCTATAATCCAACTCTGCTTATTCTCACCCTGTTCGTTTTTGTTCTGGTTCCGTCCGGTCTACAAAGCGTTCCGTAATGACTCTTCATTCAACTTCATGGTTAGTTCCAGAAATATCTTAATCTGAATTTGTTCTATGGCACTTCATTGATTTTGGATTGTTGTGAAGCTTAGGAAAACTTATTGGATCTAAGTTTCGTTCAAGGGGCATTGAGTGGTTCAATGGTTTATAACGAATATTCTATAAATATTAATAAATAGAAATATTCTCCCCTCTGTCATTTGCTTATTGGCCATCGAACTACTTCTTAACTTCACTTCCGCAATGAAGACGCTGTTCGATCCATGCCACTCTCAACGTTAAACCTTGGCTGCGAAGAATATGTTACAGTCTTGTTCGCTGAGGAAGCCGTGTTAGGCGCGATGCGTTTGGCGCGGCGACTAAACCCGTTCTCCACCACTTTTTGAAGAGGGGCAAGCCACTAGTTGGTGAACAACGGTTTGGCGTCTCCAAAACCCGTCCTGCCTGACACGCCCCTTCATCCGCAGCGAACAAGACTGTATTCATTTCGTAGCCTGACAGAAATGTCTTCTAATGCTGATCTCTGATCGGCTTCTCATTATGGAAAAATAAATACCGGAAAAGTCAGTATTTGGCCATGTTCATATCTGTCCCAGACGAATTTAGATCCCAGGAAAACACTCTTGTTCGCTGCGGATGAGAGGGTTCAACTTCCAAATCAGAAATTTAAGTTTTCAGGAAGAATGGATTTACAAGCAGAAAAATGTATGATCTAGACTGCGTTGGGAGCGGTTGACTTTTTCTAACTTTTCCCAACATTTTACATGAACTCGTAGAAAGATTGTTACATACAACTGCCTTATAAGCTTCACATTGTTTAGGTATTCTTCTTTGTGCTATTTTTCCATTCACTGTTTACTCTCGTACAAACACTTGGCGTCTCATCATACGCATGTGGTTGGATTAATACAATTGAGACTTTTGGAGGTTTGTCGCTGGTCTTTATATTTAAAAATTTTCATTTCCTTTCATTTTCATATCATTTCTGTTCAAGCAATATCGTGGGCACTAGCGTTGTTGGAGGTGCCACTTGCCTGCGACCCTGTGTCTCTTCTCCGAACCAGGGTTCTGACCCAACATATGATATGCCTTCTCCGCGAGAGTATTTCCGGCGTAGCCTAAGCCTTTGTTAAGGGTAGGGACACAACGACCAGGTGGCACCCCCTACAACTTCATCGCCGCCATATCGTGTAACTGAACCATAACATTCAGTTTCAATTCCAATCGCATTGATTATGTTGCTCTCCGCTCTTTGTTTCACTGCTGCTCTCGCTGGTATGATATACGCGCTGATCAGGGTGCACAGGTTGTACAGGTTCGTGTTCAAATACTGAATTCTCTTTTGCTAAGTGTCTACTGTATAGTTTTCATTCAACTGAGATGTCTCTTGTGAAATCCGTGGGATGCTCACTTTTCAGAGGATCTGGATTTTCCATCGATAAGGCTCGCCAAGAGTTCACAAATGGTGTGATGGCCGACAGAAATGTACAAGCAGCCGCCACAGCTGCTACTACTGCAGCTGCTGGTGCGGCTTTCCAACAAGCTACTCAGGGACGTTTCTAAATCGCATTAAAGTGAGTTTCAAATGCCTACATTATCTTGAAAATACGCCCAAAATACATGTTCCGGAGATCCAACTCACAGCATAGCCTGCAAACCAGCATAATTAGCTATTTAACACGACATAGAACTTTGGCTTGAAACCAGTCATACATAGCCTGCTACGCTGTATCCTGCACGACCTTGTCTCGAAATTTTGACAATTGCTACTTCCGTAGTAAGTTTTTTATAGACTGTCTAAGTAGGTTGACCAAACTCTTGCCCAGTGATCTCCACAGCTCGTATAGAACCGAACAATTTATTGATTGTTGATTTTCGCAGAGAAGGCCCTAAATTAAACGGTACAGGACGTGAACTGCCTTAAAGTAATTGGCTTGGTGCCAAAATACTATTATAAGTCGAGTCAACAAGGTAGTAACAATAGCCATTTTGCGCACAATATCGCGATATGGATCTTTCAAACCACAAAGTATCCGCAGTATTCCTGTCGAATCTACGATTGAAGTTGATTTCAGGTTGGACAATGAGAGCGTTCTCCTAATCAGCGCAGAGTTCAACAGTTTTCTCCAATAGTTCAC